ATCATTCTTATTGCTTTGTTCTTTTCTCACATCCTGCATTCAGTGCATCAGGAAATCCTATTGTTTTTACCTTCAAAATGTGCTTATAATCTGACTACCTCTCAGTACCTCCACTACCACTACCCTGGTCTATGTCACCATAATCTCTTACCTAACTGGTCTTCTTGCTTCCACACTTACCTTCCTACAGTCTTTTCTCAACATAACAGCGAGAATGATCCTTTTAATAGTAAGATTATGTTATTCCTCTGTTTAAACTCCCTGGTGACTTCCCAGTTCACCCAGTATGCATTCTCAATAGAAGCAATATCATCTCCAGGGGGATAAAAGTTGTTTCTTAGGGGTCGGGGTCAAAAAAAAATTATTGGATATTACAATGGTTTGTGGCCCTCTGAAGGCCACAGTACATAGACAAATGTAAGTCTATCTATGATATGAAAATTTTATGAGAGGGCACCAATTAGGAAATGAAAGATTCTCCGAAGGAGAATAATGGGGGGAAAAGGTTGGCAACAACTAACTCAGAGGAAAAACCAAATTCCCACACAACAGTACATCATCTGGCATCCATTACCTCCCTGAACTTTTCTCCTACTACTCTCCCCTTGATCTTTCAGTTTCAGTCACACTGGCTTTTTTGCTGATTCTCAAGTCTATCAGTCACACACATTCATACACGCACACACTGAGCCTTTGTGATAGTTACCTCTGCCGTGGATACTCTCTCCCAGGTCTCCTCCAGGTTGACTCCCTCACCTCCCTCCAGACTTTGCCTGAGTCTTCTCAAAGTCTCCTCAGAGAGACCTACCATGACCACCCTATTTAATACTATAGCATGTCCCCTCTTATCCCCATACTCTGGGCCCTATTTACTTTGATGATTTTTTTCCCCATACCACTTACCATCTTCTAACATACTACTTAATTTTCCTCTTATATGTACAGCTTGTTTTCTGTCTCCATCCACTAGAGTATAAGCTCCATGAGGGAAGAGACATTTGTTCTACCCACTACCTCTAGAACAGTGGCTGGCATAGAGTCATAGCTTTCAATAATGAATGAATTAATCCTTTCTGGCCTTAGAGGAAAAACTTAAATCCTAGAAGGAATTATAATTTCAGCAGAGTGTGAATCTATAACTGGAAAAAAAGTATGAGGCCAGGGCTGAGGATGTGACTCACAACCACATTATTAATTCTGTCTGGGACCCCCCTCCTTAAGGACATAAAAATAACTAGAAATTCAAGCATGTTAAAGCTATATCTGGAGCCCTGCCCAGGCGGAGAGGTACTTTTTGCCTAGGCTTCACATTCACAAAAGCCTCAAATGTAGACTTTGAACATTCCCTCTAAAGCAGTTTGGTTATTTATTCAGTCAGAGACATTCCCACAAGGAAGGAAGGAGACTTTTCAGATTACGACTTAACTGGTGTCTCATTATAGCCTTCTGCCTTACAGATTAACTTTGTAAACCTGGCAATTACTGCAGAACTGTCAAAATCATAAGGCTTTGTAATATCTCTGTGTTAAAAGCATTTATCTGTTAAATGTAACCATTTCAATCATGCCACAATTTTGGAACCCTGTTTTTGCTTCTCTTTGGTTTTTCGCATACTATTAAATTTGAGAAATGGAAGCAGCCTGAGTTTTGAGAGAGCCTGCTTATGTTAGATGGGCTTTGTCGCCTCTTGGCCACAGAGAACCAAGGAAGTGGACTCGCCAACATTATATGGGCTCCCAGTACTCACAAGCCGCCCAGCTCCAGACACTCAAATGCCTCCTCCCCTTCTGGCTCACCAGTGTTTCCCCCAAGATATGTACTTACAAAGCACATTCCTTCCCCTTTGCTCAGTTATCCCATAATACCCCTGGGTGGAGGCAGGGGGAAACCAGTGGGAAAGGTTTTCCTCTCCCACAACTGCAGGCCCAGGTATGAGAGCTGCCACAGAGACCATCACAGCAAAGGGGCACCCACCCTCTTTGGGTTTTGTGGCTGTGATGGTTCACTTTATGTGCTAACTTGGCTAGGCTACGGGACCCAGTGGTTTGGTCAAACAACAGTCTAAATTATATACAACCATCAACAGACTTCCCAACCCCCACTCTGCCTTTCCTGGCTTGTAACCCTGACACACCCATTCAACCAGCACTTTTTGAAGACTGTGGAGTAATAGTCATTATCTTTGGGAATAAAATGTTGGAAACATCACAGCCCTGACCCCTGCCCAGCTTGTAAGTGAGCCAGGCAGGCAAACAAAGAGTAGCAGTGAGATGCAGTAAGTGTTCCACGAGAGATACGAGCCCCTTTGATCCAAGTGGGACAAAGTAGGTATGTTGGGAGGGGTCAAGTTGGGGGAAAATAAAGGAATATGTAGTTTCTGGGCACTTCCCAAAGTCCCCACCTCCAAATATCATCAAAGTAGGGACCAGGGTCAATATATGAATTTGGAGGTGGGGGCACACAAGCATAGTTCAGACTATGAACGCTTTGTATCTCTTTCTATCTCATCCCCCTCTCAATCCCAGAAGTAACCATTATTTCAATTTTCAAAAATCATTCCCTTGACCTTTATCATTTTGAGACAGAAAGGAAGATAGATAATATCTCCAATTCCAAGAAGAGTGTCTGAAGGTGCTCACAGAAGGTGCTCAATAAACACTGCTTGAATGAAAGAATGAGAAACTTAACTCTCTACATGAGTATAATTTATAAAAATGAAATAATTCTGATGATGGCTGATGAGCATTGTCCTGTGAAGTGCTCCTCTGTGTCAAGTAAAATAAAAACATGGAATTTCTGAGGTAAAATTAAATGTAACTTTAAAAAAAGTAATAATAGGGGCTCCTGGGTGGCTCAGTGGGTTAAAGCCTCTCCCTTCGGCTCAGGTCATGATCCCAGGGTCCTGGGATCGAGCCCTGCATCGGGCTCTCTGCTCAGTGGGGAGCCTGCTTCCCCCTCTCTCTGCCTGCCTCTCTGCCTGCTTGTGATCTCTATCTGTCAAATAAATAAATAAAATCTTTTTTTTTCTTAAAAGGTAATAATAACTGTAGTTGGCTGATGGAACAATGGGAAAAGCATCAGACTCCGTGCCAGCAAACTTGGGCTGGAATCTGGCTCTGCCATTGCCAGCTAGTGTGCCTGTGAGCAGGGCTCAACCTCTCTTAAACTTGCACTTCCTCATCTGTAAAATGGGGATACTATCACGGTGTGGTTAATGAGAGGGATAGGTGAGTGCAGGGATGAAAAATGCTCCAGAGAGTAAGTTAAAGAAAATGATGCTGTGAAGTGTCACCAATATTTAAGGCCAAGGGGGGGCCTTTGCAAAATTAAGCATCTCCACATAACTTTGTTTCTCTATCTTCCTCCCAATTTAAATCTTATGTTATAAACATACCTTATTTTGGAGCATCTGGGTGGTTCAGTTGGTTAGGCATCTGACTCTTGATTTCAGCTCAGATCATTATCTCAGGGTTGTAGGATTGAGCCCCATGTTGGGTTCTGTGCTGAGTGTGGAGCCCCTCTGGGATTCTCTCGCCCTCCCTCTCTGCTCTTCCTCCCCCACTCACGTGTGCACACTCTCTCTCTTAAAAAAAAAAATAAATAAATAAGTAAACAAACTTCATTTTTTTAAAAAAAGGCATCCATTTTCTCTAATGAAACTCTCAAGCAACAGTACTTAGTTTTATTTTATTGAGACATACCTCATGCAGTAATATTCACCGTTCTAAAGTGTGCAATTCAGTGGTTTTACTCCATTTACAGCCTGTGTAACCATCATCACTCTATCACCCCAAAACATTTTCATCACCAATTAGAAGTCGCTCCCCATTTCCCCCTCCCCTCAGCTCCTGGCAACCTCCAATCTGCTTCTTGTTTCTGTGGATTTGCCTAGTCTAGACATCTCGCATAAACAGATTCATACTGTGTGGCCTCGGGTATCTGACTGCTTTCACTTAGCGTAATGATTTCAAGGTTTATCCATGTTGCAGGACTTATCAGTACTTCATTCCTTTTTACAGCTGGATGAGAGTCCATTGTATGGACATGCCGTGTTTTATTTACCTGTTGCTGAGTTTATGGATATTTGGGGGCGTTTCTATCCTTGGGCTATTATGACTAACGCTGCTATGAACATTTGTATGCAAGTGTTTTGCGTGGACACGTTTCCAGTTCTCTCGGGAATCCCTCCAGGAGTGGAGCTGCTCTAGTTCAACTTTCCCAGGAACAGCTGATGGGCTTTCCGCAGCAGCTGCCCCGTTTCACAACCCCGTCAGCAATGCACGAAGACGCCAATTTCTCCACACCGTCACCAATAAGGGTTTATTATTTCTAGAATCACCCTTCATTTGACCTCACCAACACTTTCTCAGTGACATTGGTATTGCGGGTCTGGAAACCACTTAAATTAAAACACAAGTTTTCGAGGTGACACTCAAGTATTAATAAAATGACTTCAGGGTACTGTTTCTAATCTTTCCTGGGGGAAAGCCAGCTTTGCTGCTGCCTCGCCCGAGGGGAGGAGGCGGGGACTCCACTCACCGTCACCCTGTTTCGCACAGAATCCCAGAATCCCGGGAGGAAAAGCTATTTTAGGAACAAATCCCTTAGGCATTTGTCTTGAGAGAACAGTTTCCTGGAGTAGAAATAAAAGTAGCCTTTGACTAGCTGTTCACGTGCATTCCACGTCATTTCACTTTATACTCAACTCGTAATCTCACGAGTGGGCAGTTTCGCCGAAAGGAAACGTCGGCCCCTTTATGCGCAGGCGCACACCTTCAGCCCGCCCTCCTCCCTCCGGCCCCGCCCCCCCAGGCTCCACCCTCCGCCGACACGCCCCCTCCCCTTGAGCACAGGGGCTGAGGGGCGGGGAGAGGGCTGTGAAGGAGGGCCTACGACCAATCCGCTTGCGTCTTCGGGAGGCGGCCCTCCGCACTGGCAGATTAAGGCTGATGATGTACTCATGGTCCAATCCGCACTCCGGGGGCGGGGCTAAAGGCCAGAGGCGCAGGGCTGGAGGGGACCTCCTGGTGGAAGCACGTGACCTGGGTCTGGAGCCGGAAGCTACCTATCTGATAGGGAGCGCCCCCAGCACCTAAGGCTGCGATGGTGAGTGAGGACGCATGCGCGGGAGTGAGCGCTCGGGGTTCTGCAACCCTGTTCCCCAATCTCTTTGGTTCCCCAGACTTGGGCCTGTACTCCGCCCTTACCTCCTATCCACCCCGGGACGCAGAGAGAATAGAGATGGGAGGGGAGGCGACGTAGAGGGCTGAAGAGGGATCTGTGCGAGGGTGTTTGGGCGCTGGGGAGTAGTCTGCGGGGGTGGGGCCGGCCACCGGGGGAATTGGGAGATGGGGCGGGTGGGGGGAAGGGAACAGCAGAGCTGCGGAGGCCAAGGGAGCCCAGGGTCAGAGGGTGAGAAAGTGGGAAGCTCAGCAAGATGAGTGTTGAAGGCTTTGTAGAGGAGAGGGTCTGGAAGGGCCATAGCTGGGGAAAGAGAAGGTTTGGGGGGCCTTGTCAAGCGAGACTTGGGTTTGCAAGTGAAGACCATCTAGGGCCATCCCGGCATGCTTCTGACTAATTGCATCTTTACCCACTAGACTTCTGCACTGACCCAGGGGCTGGAGCGAATCCCAGACCAGCTTGGCTACCTGGTGCTGAGTGAAGGCGCGGTGCTGGCGGTGCGTTCTGGGCAAGGGAGGGGGTCCACCAAGGACAAATGGCCCTGTGATCTCTTTTAACATTGCCGGGTTTAGCCTGAGTTGTCTCTATTCTAGGTCATAGCTATCATGCTTGGCAGAGAGTAAGCTTTCAGTAACTAATCAAATCGCTGGAATCATACTCTAGTAACTTCTGAGTTGAGAGGTTTAATGACTTTAACAAAGTCAGACAACTAGTTTCAGGATTGTTGAGAACTGATATTATCCAAGTTCTCTCGAATAGGTCTCTATTTGGTATTTATTAAAGAGGCTATGAATTTTGTTTCATAGTACAATACAGTGTTTAGCTTTCTAGAAGTTTTTAATGGAGCTGGAGAGACAAGGCTTAAGGATAAAAGTTGAGAGCAATGCAAGTGGTAAAGACTAGTGAAGGAGACCAGAAAATGAAGGATTCAACCTTTGTGTTGTAACTTACATTATAACAAGGAGACTCTTGGAGGAGGTAAGAATTCATCTGGGCAGTCGATGGTGGTGAACAGGCAGAAAAGGAGAGTACTCAGAGTTGGAATGGTGGGACTATATTGAAAAGATTTGGAAAGGTTTAGAAGAGGATATGGTAAGGAAAGATCTCATTGTGGAGGACTTTCAAGGCTTGGTTGACACATTTGGGTTAATCTTGAGGGTAATGGGAGCTTTGAAGGGTTTTGAACAGAAATGTGAGCTAAAGAAAGAATTGAGCAAGATTATTCTATCAGGTGTGAAGATAGAAAGGGTGGGGATTCAGAAGTAGGGGGAGCTGCTGCAAAGATCTAGGTATGAGACAGATATGGTGGCAGTGAGGAGGAACAAGGAGAGAAGAAATTTTAAAAGAAGAGTCAGTATATCTTGATAATGACTAGAGACAGGTAATTGGAGGAGATACTTCTCCATCTAGTAAGACTTTGAACCCAAGCCTAGAATGATGGTGCTTTCAGAAACAGGAAATTAAGAAAGAAGTTGACTAGGGAGGGGTGAGGTAAGGAGATTTTGATGGCTTTAGACATTTTGATACAGTATGTATTGCCAGGAGCTGTTCTGAGCATCTCACCAATAATAGTTCAGTGTGATCCTCACAACAAGCCTATGGATAGGAACTTGTCCCAATTAACAGATGAGAAGATGGAGGTACATAATGTCCCAGAGAGCAAAGGGGACTGAATGTGACCTAGTTGCGAGGTCCTTGTTGAGGAGGTTGGGAGAGGAAACTCTGAGACAGTCACCAAAAGAGGAAGCCTAGGCCACAGCCACATCATTACCCAAGGGCTAGGTACTACGGAAGGGCTCAAGGACAAAGAGAATGTTCGTTTATGTTTCAGAATGTGCAGGCAAGGCAACAAGTAAACAGGAAAAGAGGGGGCCTTGAACCTGTCAGTGCTGGGTGGGCACAGATGTTTGAGAATGGTTTTATCAAGTGGGGAAAAGGGGAGAAATCACGTTTCAGCGATTAAGAAAGAATGGTCGGTAAAGAAACGAACGAGGGTCACTGCTCACTGGGGGAAGGCCCGTACTGTAAGGATGAGAAATAAGATGGCACCAGGAGGGGCAACAGTATCATAAAGTTTCAGGTTTGTTTTCCCAAAAATAGGGGTGACCTTAGGGGTACTGGAAAATGGAGAGGGAGAGGTTACAAATGCTAGAGCCAAGGTGACTGTTCCTGGAATTCTTTCCCAATTCTGTTCCCTAATTTCTGTCATCCTTCCTCCTCCCTCTGCATGCAGTCATCTGGGGATCTAGAGAATGACGAGCAGGCAGCCAGTGCCATCTCTGAGCTGGTCAGCACAGCCTGTGGTTTCCGGCTGCACCACAGCACAAACATACCCTTCAAGCGCCTGTCAGGTGAGCCTCAGCCCCTGCCCCTGGTGGTGGTGGTGGTGGTAGGGGTTGGGGGTTGTTCCCAGAGGCTTCTCTTCTCAGGGGGAAAAAAAAAAAGTCCATCTCCTGCTAACCTCCCACCATCCCCCCTGGGGTCCCTGGTCCCTTTGGGATTCACCCCTGCATCTGAACGATGAGAAAGCACGGGAAGGAAGGGGACGTAATGGAGCCCTCGTACCTTGAACCACGGAATGCCTTTGGCTTCTGCTCCCACCAGTTTGTGTGACCCTATAGAGGCCATTGTACCCCACTAACTCTGTGCTCCCTTCCCTCTCCCGGGTGGGGGAAGGTGTGTCTCTTCTCCAGTGGTCTTTGGAGAACACACGCTGCTGGTGACCGTGTCGGGACAGAGGGTATTTGTGGTGAAGAGGCAGAACCAAGGCCGGGAGCCTGTTGATGTCTGAGCCGCCAGAGGCCCGGGCGCTGAGGTGGATTGGGTCCATGGGCCTCTGTGATGAGGAAGACGCAAACCTCCTCCAGCTCTTTCTTGGCTTGCTGCTAGAACTAAGGCTTTCTGCTCACCCACCTCCCCACCCCTACCTGGAAGGGCAGAGGCCTGGGGACTTTGCACTGTGTCAAGGAGAGTGAGGGCAAGGGGTTCTGCCTCTTCCCTCCCTCCCTCCTAATAAACATAAGTCTGATATCCCCAGCCCAGGGACGTGTGTATGAGAGAGTGTGAACTGGCGGGGGGGTGGGGGGGGGAGGTTATACCCCAAGTCTGTCTTCTAGGGAGACAAGTTGTATATGTGGGCCCTGAAGGTGAGGCAAGGCACCTGGGCCTATGAACTGGCAATCAGAGGATAATATGGTAGGAGGGGAGCTGAGGGGAACTGTTTGGTGTGCCTCCGGTAGGGAACCCCTCTGAGCCCCTGGGTTCTCTGCTCCTGCCACCAAGAGACAAACGGAAGTCGTTCTTCTCCCTCCTGAACAGGTATTTAATAGTCTTATTTCAGTTGGAAGCAGTAGTTGGAGAATAAGTTACAGGAACAGACAGATCCAAAAAGAAAAAAAAAGAAAGAAAGAAAGAAAGAAAAGATAACCCCACACAACTTAAAGTGCTTCAGGCTGCAAACGTAAACATGAGGGGCAGGAGGAGGCCACCTGGCTATCTCCCCTTTCCCCTGAGACAGGAGGGTCATTGTCGAGGTCCCTTTACCATCACCACCCTCTAATCTCAGCCCTGCGGGTGGGTGGGAGGGAGGGAATGCCAGAGGCAGGAGAGACAACTTAATAGGAACAAGGAATACACTTTGTAAACTTAGAACCAGGGTATAGGGCAGGGGGCAAGGGAGCTCTTGGAGCCCCTGCCATGGCCTCGGGGTGGGGCCAGCCCCCCCCCAGGGAGTCGGGGAAATACTCTTGGCTTAGTGCTGTAGCCATACCCGCCCATTTCACAGCTTCTTCCCTGTCCCTCATCAGCAGACACAGACAGGCGGCCCTGTTGGGCCTCCTCATCCACGGTGGGAGGCATCCCAGGGGAGGCACAGTCTGGAGTGAGGACCCCCTCCAGGGGCTTTCGGTTTCTGGGAGTGTTAAGAGGGAGGAGAGCCTGCCCGGTGCTACTTGACAGGTTCCACCACCAGGACCTTGCACTCACGCTTGGCAATCTTGTCCAGAGAAAGCACAGCCTTGTCCGGGGGCAGGTAGAGGGGGCGGCCCACAGGGGAGGCCACAGGAGGCGTGATGGCTCTGCGCTCCATCACGCTGCCCGACCTGGGGGAAGGCAGAGGCTGTGGGGCTCCGGTCAGACCCCAGGACCCTTTCCGGCTCCTGCTCCAACTCTAGCCTCTACTGAGGCCCGTGGGACCCCTCCCACACTTCCGTACCTCATGAGGTGGCTGCGGGAGGGCTGTTGGTGAGAGAAGGACTGAGAGCGGCCCAGGCTGGCCTGGTGTCTCTCCACCAGGTCCCGGACAGCAGGACTGCTGGGGCTGCTCTTTCGAGAGAGGGGCCGGGCCTCGGGCGGAGGGTGGGACACACTGGCGGTGAACTGCAGCTTCAGTTTCATGTGCTGGCTCAGCTGGCGCAGGGAGACACAAATCAGCGCCCCAGCTCAGCCTCCCGGCCCCCGCCTTCCTTTCCCATCACGGTCCCCACTTGCCCTGCCGGCGTGGGACTGTAAGTCCACCTTCCCTCTGTCCCCACTGTTCGGTACCACCCGAGGCAGGTGGCTCTGGCTCCTCCCACCCTGACATTCTGCATAACCCATCTCGCAGTCCAGCCCCCACCCCCGGTCCACCTCGAAGAGCCCCGTCCTCAGAGCCTGGAAGGCCACACTGAAGGTGAGCGCGCTGCCCTTCCGGGAAAAGCCCAGGTTGTTGAGGGGCGTGTGGCAGACAATGGAGTCCAGGGCTGCCTGCATGGCCCGGCGCTCCTCCTCACACAGCTGCTTTCCTGGAAGGGGTGAGACACAGAGACAGCCACCAGTAAACCCATCTGTACGGTCGCAAAGGGCTTTTGCGAGCACAGTCTCATTTGACCCTCAGACTCGCTCTGTGGCGTAAACTGGGTATGTGTCATTTTTTGCTGATGTGTATAAATAACAACCACTAATACTTACAGTGTGCTGACGTCTGTTCTAACCATGTCACTTACGTTAACCATTAAATCACCGTAACAACCCCATGAGATACTATTTCCCCATTTAATTTAATTTTTATTTTTTAAAATTTTTATTTATTTCTTTGACACAGAGAGAGAGCACTAGCAGGGGAGCGGCAGGCAGAGGGAGAGGGAGAAGCCCGCTCCTGGCTGAGCAGGGAGCCAGATGCGGAACTCGATCCCAGGACCCTGAGATCATGACCTGAGCAAAGGCAGACACTTAATCTCTCTGAGCCTCACTCAGGTTCCTCTTCTCTAAAATGGGGGAAATAGGGTGCCTGGGTGGCTCAGAGAGATTAAGTAACCTACTTAAGGTCACACAGCTAGTATATGGGAGAGGCAGAAATCAAAGATACCAGGGAGCCCAGATCCAGGGTCAATGCCCTTAAAATCACTGGCCCACTGCTTCTCTAAGCTTTCCATTGGTGACACTATGGAGACCACCCAGGTACAGGGCTGAAGTTGCCTGCCAAAAGCCACCCACCTCCATGACTTCCTTTCCCCTCCTCTTTTGGGACAAGGTCCCAGAGTTTGACAGCCCACCTACCAGCCTGTGCGTGCTCCGGGGTCCACACAAGCCTCACAGCAAGGAAATCTTGGAGATTGTTGAGCAGTGTGTAGGTGACCGTGAACCTCTCATAAGTCCGAACAGGGGACTCACAAGAGGCCGTCATCACAAAGCATGGCCGGTCCAGGCGGATGCTGGGCAGGCTAGAAGCAGTGAGAAAGGGAAGCCAGGCGTGTGGGAGGGCATGTGTTCCGAACAGGTGAACGGGATGGTGCCCAGCAGGGAGTCCAACAAACTCACCGGTAGTGGGTGTAGATGCTCTGGGTGAAGGGCAGCTTTGGGGTAGACCACTGAACCACAGCAATCAGGGGAACTTCTAGGCCCTGCGGGAGAGACAAAAGGAAACATCATGTGTCTCTGAGGTCCCCTTCCGTCTTTTGTCACCCCCTGGCCTTTCCCTCCCACTGCTTTCTCTTTCTTTCTTTTTTTTTTTTTTTTAAGATTTCATTTATTTGACAGAGAGAGATCACAAGTAGGCAGAGTCAGGCAGAGAGAGAGGGGGAAACAGGCTCCCTGCTGAGCAGACAGCTCGATGGTGGGGCTCGATCCCAGGACCCTGAAATCATGACCTGAGCTGAAGGCAGAGGCTTAACCCACTGAGCCACCCAGGTGCCCCTCCACTGCTTTTTCTTAATCTTGCTCCTTGAGCATACCAGCCTCTTATGCTCACCTCCTTGGCCCCTTGAGGGGGTTGCTCACCCCCTCTCAGCTGAAACAGGAAGTTGTGTTCCTCCAGGGCACTAAGCGGGCAGGGGAAGCAGCCAGAGGTACCAGGGAGCCGGCAGAAGGAACCCATGGAGACTTCCCCAGATTGGTGACTAGTTCAGCAGAAAGAGGGACAGAGCTTGATCTTTTCATGCCAGAGCTCTTGGCCCTGCCCCAATCCCTACTTTGCAGCCTGGCCCCCCTCCTCAGGACCTCACCAGACATTGTCCACCAGCAGCACAGAGCCGTCGGGCATGACAGGTAGATAACTAGCATTGAAGTTTGGGAGAATACGGATATCCCAGATGGAAATTTCCTCCTGGGAGGAGCTGTTCAGCACTGTTGGAGGAAACCAGCTCAGCTCAGCTAAGAGTACCGGGACCCCTCAAGTCCCGACTTTACCCCTCCAAAATGGACTGATCCCCACCAGTATGCCCAGAGTAACTGCCACCCAGTCAATGCCCTTGCTGCTACCAAAGACCTGAGCCATAGATCTCACCCTTGAGCACGGTCAAGTGTTTTCCAGCCACAGTGAACTGGCGGCATTTCAGAACCGGAGGGGGCAGCAGAGTCAGCAGGGTGCTCACTGCAGGAGAGGGCCCAGGCAAGAACCAATGAGCTGGGCAGAGACCTCGCCTCCAACCCACAGCTCTGATCTTCCTCTGCTCCCGGGATCAGGCACTTGCCAGTATCACCCTCCATTCTGTCCCCCAGATTCCAGACTCTAGCGTTTCCTCTCTGCATTCTCCCCACCTTGGGCCTTGAAAGCACTCTGCTCGCCCCGGAAGGTCTCCCCAGGAGATCGGGTCTGCAGCAAGCGCAAGTAACCTTGATCTCTGACTTCTGGCGCCTCAACCTCCCGTTTCCACACAGTCACTACAATCTGAGCACAGGGGACACAGGACCTCGGTCAAGAGGAGAGACAGCTAGCCCAGCCTTTGAAAGGGAGTTGAATTAGGACAACAGCCCCACCCCTTGCCAGTCTTACCTTGGCCTTAGGTGTCCCTGGGGGCAGTCTATCCAGTGAAACTGTGAGTGGGAAGATGACCTCATCTGTGGACACAATTGGTTCCTCCACAGGCAGCTGGGGTTTGTGAAAGGGGTTAAGAGTGCAGGAGAGTCAAAGAGGCAGCCTGCGCCGTTCCCTTTAAGATGTGATGTTCTCGGTTCTTCTTGGCCTCTGCTCTCCTCCGTCACCTGCCTCCTTCAGGCCCCCAGCGTCCATCCCCTCCTGTCTCTGGAGCCCAGCAAACCGCCCCTCCGCCCTGTGCCGTGTCACCCCAAGCTCCTCACCGTGGTCGCTCCCCCTGAGGTAGCAGGGCCCGGGCCGTGGGTGAGGAGGGGGCTGCAGCCTCGAAACAGCGCCCCACCGCCAGGATCCCCGCCCCCTGGGGGTTCGGGATCCAGGTCTGCGGAGCCACCGCCCCCGGGCGCCCCGCCTCCCGCGCTGACCGAGGCCAGGGCGGCCAGGGCCGTTGCCAGTTCTGCCCAGGCCCCTCGGGAGCCCAAGCCCGCGCCGCCCCCGGCGCCGGACCCCGCGCCCCCCCGGCAGCGCAGCACCAGCAGGAAGCGGACAGTCTCCCCCAGGTAGAGATGGTTGCGCCGGGGCAGCGCCCGGTACCGGCCCGGGTCCCCCGCCAGCTCCGCGCGCGGCGGCAGTGGCACCGCCGGGAAATACATGGAGTAGTCACACTGGGACTCCATGGGGCGGCTAGGACGGCGCGGGCGGGGGGCGAGGTGGGCCGGGGCCGGAGGAGGGCGAGGGGGCCGCTGGGGCGG